ACCGTCGGGGTGCAGAGACCCACCTGCAGCCCATGGATGAGCCCATGCTGGAGCAGACAGATAACTGAAGGAGGCTGTGACCCCATGGGAGGCCCATGATGGAGCAGGGTCCTGCCAGGGACTCTCCTGTGGAGAGAGGAGCCCATGCTGGAGCAGGTTTTTCCCAGGTAGGACTTGCCCTGTAGGCGACACACACTGGAGCAGCTAATTTGTGAAGGACTGCACCCCATGGGAAAGTGACCCACAGGACACCACTTTGGGAAGAACTGTTGCCCGAGGCACGGACTCACGCTGGAGAGGTCCATCAAGGACTGTCTCACATAGGAGGGACCCCATGGGAGCAGGGGAAAGACTCCTCTCCCTAAGCAGCAGCAGAAACAACAACTGACTGTAACACCCATTCCCTGTCCCCCTGCACTGCTGGAGGGAGGAGATAGAAGTTGGAAGGAAGGAGGCATGGTGAAGATGTTTTTAAGATTATTTTACTTCTCACTCTTTTGCTCTGATCCTGTTAGCAATTAATTCAATTAATATCTCCACTTTGAGTCTGTTTTGTCCATGATGGTGATCAGTAACCAATTTCTCCTAACTCTTAACTCAGAAATCCTTGGCTGTTTTTCTTCTCTCCTCTGTCCAGTTACAGAGAGGAGAGAGAAAGCTGCTTTAGTGGGTACTTGGCTCCAGTCACTAGACACAGAACTATAATAAACCCACTATGTCAGCACTGAGTAGAAACAGCTCAGCATTGCTATTTTTTACATAAATAATTATTTTTTCCTTTTTCAATAATGCTATTCAACTGAGTAGCAGGTCATCTGGCCTTCTAACTTGCAGTTGTTCTGCCTCTCAAAAGATACCTCTGCAGACCCACACGGTACTTATTTTCACTACCCTGAAATGGTATCATAAGCAAACCTTGTCATTTTGCTACCCTTTTTCCAGATTATTTGAGATATGACGAACTGTATCCCAAAACATATCTATCAAGAACTCCACTGGTGTCCTCCTTCAACTCCGAGAATAAAATATCTATTTTAATCCCCCACTCTTTATCTGTTAACCATACAGGAACCTGCATCTTACTTATGGCTGAGTTATTTTCCAAAAGTCTTTTGGAGACCCAAGCAGATTATATCCACTGCATCTCCTTTATCCATTTAGCTGCTGATTGTTTCCAAGAACTTCAATAAATGTGAAGAATTACCTCTTTTTACAAACCCATGTTGACTCTCCCCTGACATTACTCATCTATGTTCATTATTGCATCTACCAATATGCATAGTAAATCCTTTTTCAGATGAAAAATATCTTCAAATTCTAAGCTGAATTGAAAAGGTTGTGAAAGCCCCTAAATACATAGAAAACTTTCCAAGCTCATTGCATGATATTTGATTCTCTATGTAACAGAAATTATATTAGCCTTGGTGACAAGCTGAAAACCAAAAGTGGAAATAAGTGGAGGCAACATGTCCTTATATGAACCATTCATACAATTACATAAAACTTTACAACGTAACATTCAAGGACATGCATTCTTCTTGTATTTATTTGTAAAAAACCCCTCACAACTAAATAAAAAACCAAAACAAACAAAAAGAAACAAATCAAAACCCAGGAGTCTAGGGAAGCAATAAAATATTAATACAGCAGCACAGCGCTAGTATGTGCTAATAACTGTAGCAGCACAGCATTAAGCATTTCTGTGAAAATATCCAGGATTCTCTTTACACTTTGATGTGAAGTGTTTGTTTCTTGAAAGTGTTCTGCATTACACTGATAACTCCCTAAACTGTTTGATGCAAGGCTGGTTACATGAGTTACCCTTAATGAATTCCCTCCGGGCAGCTATAAACTATGCTCCCATATTAAAAGAACAGACTAAATTTTTTTCAAACTAAAAGGTTGAAATTGCAAATTAATCTATAAATACAGTGTTATTTTACACTCAGAAACCTCAGGACACTTGAAGTTTCTATGTTTTCTCAATGTTTTATATTAACAGTCTCAGTTGTAGCTTTGTCAGAAAAATCACAATAGTTGAGTCAGTACAACACCACAGAAAATTGTTTCTCACGTATTATTTTCTGTGGTTCTGAAATACATATTAGCCCTTGATCACACTTTCATTAACTAGAAACAGCAGTCAGCTTTCCAGAACAGGAGCATCCTGTAAATCACTGTAAACTATTGCATTGGATTTCCAGCAGAAGACAAGCGTGATAAGGACTGAACATAGAAATCGGTTTTCGGTTTTGACAGTGATTTCTTTATAGCTCCTCGAGCTCCTCTTGATAAAGTGGAAAACAAAGTTCTCCTTTCTTCTGATTCAACACCTAAAGGTCCTCATATTTTTTCATATTTTCATATTATTTACAGCTACAGTCTGCCACCTCCACACCACCCTCATTTCTCTGCAATGTTTTCTGGAAAGCTACACTACTTCCTTCCTCATGTTAAAAGCCACTTGGTCACCCTATCACTGGTTTCAGAAATCCTGTCTCTCAGTCTAAATTCATTCCCATGGCACCTGGAAAATATTGTAATAAATGTAATTTGTCAGACCTCATTGCACACATTTCCATTAATATGCAGCATCAGTTCTGTTTATATCTGCTGTTATATACAGGAACACTCATAGTATGATATATTATAATGCCTGTTAACCTATAAAAATAAAAGACAAACTTACATGAATTTTTAGCCAAAAAGCTAAGTACCAACTGCCACAGCTTATCTTTAAGCACTACCCTCTTTGACTGTGTGAACCTGACTATCATCCCAGGGAAAAATGTTTGAAAAAATATAACGGAAGAATTTGCAAATGGTCTCATTAGACCTCTGTGAAAACAATTGACATGATCCTTAAGAAGTGAAACTTTGAGCTAAAATGTACTTGGTTTAATCATTATGGGTTGAACAGAAGAGAAGACAGAAATCCATTGAAACAGTGATGGGTCTATATTAAAGTGAAGATCTAAGATAAAGAGCTGGTATTTTTCTGTATGATAGTAAGAAAACATTTTATCAACTGCTATCACTGTGTAACCAAAGCCAACAAAATAGATACACACATATGAATATGCAAGTCTAAGCAAGATACGTCCCATACATACATATCCTGTGTAACCTTTGATTATTCTTTTCGCCTGATTGGCTTTAATAATTATTAGCTATTCTCTGAAATGTCTATTAACTAATTAATTTCCACAAGCATCCACACCACAGTCACTTTTAGTATACATAATATTTCAGAAGAAGAAAAAAAAGGTGCCAAATGCCAGAGAAAAAATTTTTAGTTGTTAAGTGGTGCTCATTAACCTTTGTAAAGGTAATATATTATATATATATATATATACAAAGTATACATATATTCATATATATTTTTTTTTCAAATACCTAAAGAATTCTCTCCAGACATGCAAAGCAAAAAAATTAACATACACAATTTAAGGTATAATCTTTAGAAAATGCTTATTCTTTGTGTTAATAGAACTCCTGAGGTACAAGCAATTACATTACTATAAATAACCCCCAAAAATTAAAATAAATTTAAAAAAAAATGTACATACATTAAAAAAAAAAGTTACCAGAGATACCAATTAGCTTATGATCCAAATTGTTTCTAAATCTTCCTTCATTTGACAAATAAATACAGAATATCAAAAACTTTAGAAGGAAATGACCATGAGAATGTTTAAAAGGCAAGTACATACTTCATTATACAATATTCTCCTTGGAAATTTAAGCTGCCAGGAGATAAAGAAATCTAGCAAGACTGGAATGAAAATAAAAGATCATATTTTCCCAAAGGAATTAGAATATCTTTGTAAATTAATAAATAGAAGATATTAAAACTTCCTTTCATTCACAATGTTAAAAGGAAGATGAGCAATAGTGAAGGTTACCAGGAGTAAACAACTTTCAGTCACTGAATATATCAAAATTCAGTGTGCTAAATTTGCAGAAGAAAAATATCAGTAAGCACACATTAAGAATGATCTGTGAGAAATAAAGATTAAACACAGGATGCTTCCCCCGTCCAATCCTCCTTGATATAACAATTTGACTTGTGGCATGGTCAGGACAAGGGGATTAGTCCTGCTCTGTCCGCCACGACCTGTCGCATGGTTTTCTGACAGGTGTCCTTGGCCACCATACATGACACAGACAGAACAGCTTATCCCCTCTGTCATTCCCTTGCTCTCTTTTCACCAATTTGGGTCTCTCTTTCTCCACTCCAGTCTCCTGTCACTATATTCACTATTCATCTCTAGCTTTTTCCCTTTGGTCCCTCTTTTGCTACATTTATATTGAAATTTGGAACATCTGATATGATTACCCAGGTAGCTGCAACTGGTACAGTTACCTGTGTACTGCCAGCCTGGCAAGACTCTGCGCCTCTAATGATCTTCAACGCTTCCTCCTCTTACACATGATATTCAGACACTTCTCACATATCTCCCACTTCACAACCTAAGAAATCCAGCCATTTCTCATTTGCAATTTCTGTCAGCTTTACACACTCCTACTGGTCACAAATATTTATTTCTCATGTCATATCCAGCAGTTTCTAACATCCTGTTTGATTACCTCAACCTCAGAACAGGGTCTAGTCACTTTCCCATGGCCCATTCTACTTCTCTCCACGGACCAAATAAGTAAAGCCATTGTCTTTAAGCTTCGAAGTTATATGACTAGAATTGGGAGAAATGAATCTGAGCGGGAGGATACCTCCACACAGGACTCTGTAGTGATCTAAGCTTGCTTTGCTTACAGACTTGAGCCCACATAAATACAACGTAAGCTGGGCTTCTATCTAAAAGTTGCTCAACTGCCTTTGTAGCCTCTCAACAAGGCAACCCCTCCTTGAATTCCCTATCTGTCCTTACTTTGAAATTCCTGACTTGCAACTCAATTTCTCTCACAAGATCCCTTCTCTGTATACTCCTCCGCTGCTCCCATAAACAGTAAAATCGCAGTACTGTTTCTTTATCTCTCACCTAACACCTTTGCTGGAAATTCCAGGAATGTGGACACCAAAATTCCCATTATCCATCAGATGTGCCAGAATTTGTTGTTACATATTTTTAGCGTAAGAAGTCCTGGAAATTCTCTGCCTTCCTCTCTTCATCTGATGTGGCACAGGGAGGCCTTCCTCTCTCCTCACACACACTAGAAAAAAAAAAAAGAATATAGGCCCTATTTTTATGCTATTTCCTCTTCTAAGATGTTGGATATGATGGGAAAAAAAAACAGGAAATTCTCATCATTCTCTTAGCATTGGAAAAAGATGGTTGGATTGCACTTCATTTCTCATGTAAGGAAGGGACAATGGGAAATACTGCCCCTAATGGCAGTGAAAGAACACTGTCATCTCATCTTGGATTCAGCCTGAATGTTCAAGGCTTACAACCAGTCTTCCATAAACCCATAGAATCTCTGCATTTTCAGGGGGGTTAGTGCTTCTTGGTTATAGAAAAAGCAGTTTATTGGACTTATGAGGATAATTTCATTTACATGCAACTTAGCTGAGTTGGGTTTTCAATTTTCCACCTCTGAATTTTTCTAAGTAGCATATTTTCAGGAGCAGAATAGAGTAACATTATCTGTACACTACAGGTATTGCTCTTTACAAGTTCTCTAAAAGCTCCACTGAGCAGCACGTGAAAGCTTTAAGTCTTTAGGACAAAAACACCATAGGCGACACTGGGGAGGAAGAAGTGCAGTCATCCCTCATCACACTCAGCTAATCACGAAAGGAAAAGCTGCAATATAAGATAAGGTAATAAATATCACAGGTAGGCTAAGGGAAAAAAAAACAACACAAATATATTTTATTAAGAATTCAGAAGAAGTACGGAGAAAATTCAACTTCTGTATATGGCACTACAGCGATTTGTATCATAAAATCATACATAATTTAGATCAGTAAAACTATCTGACAATTAGGTAGAATTTTTACAGTTTTACAGTAAGGCACTTAGAGGGTTGCCAAGTTTATGGAAACTATTACTGAGAATGGTGTAATTACATTTATACGGAGAAAATGCTGGATATTAAAGGGCTCTTTAACAAAAAAGCTGTTTGCATGCAGTGTGATTACCTACTGAATCATATTATCAAAGAAAACAATGGATTAATGTTTTCCTCCTGACAGCTTCAAACCAAAATTATACACCTCTCTGGAAAATAGTTTTAGCTAAATTTTACTTATTAAACTCAATATAAATATAGAAGTATAATGTCTGACTAGATGATCTACTGATACGTGTTAGCAAGAGATTTTGTCATTAGTTCAGAGGGGGCTTCAGCTGTCAAAAACTATAAGTAAGGAACTATATGAACAGGTAGGTCTGTTTTCTCACATGCAGCTGGTGAGAGTGATGGTGACTCCCCAAATTACAGCTGGTCATTACTAAGTACAAACTAGCTACACGTCACAATTATGCATTATTACTATTGTAGAGCAAGACATCCAAGCTGAGAGAGGGAATAGTGTCATGTCATAGCTAACTGATTAGCGGAAAAACAACTTTATTCGTTTAACACAAATAAACAACAGAATGCATTTTTTTTTAGGTGTGACTGTAAGTGTAAAAGGAAAGTTATGTAGTAACTGCAAGAAACTACATTATTCTGACCTAACACAAAAATATTTACAGGAATACTTTAAAATATGCCAGACACAAAATGCAATGAGGGTAAAAAAATGGGTCATGCGCTCTATCTGCTCATACTCACTGCCATAGTGTATAAGCAATTCTGAGAAAATAATAGTCACGGCAAGATACTTTTTCCTCTTCAGTCAATACCTCAAGTACAGACCTCTTTAGAGAGCCAAAGAGCTCTTATATGTGACAGAGTGAAAGTACAAATATGAAAAATGTACCAGTGTCACTCAATCTTCCACTTTTTATGTACTCTGAAAGCTCTTCATAAAGCTCAGCAAGTTCGGATATAAAAAATTCAGAGCTGATCTCACATTAAATTGGGGTTGGGAACCTAAACAAAGATCATAACCACTTCAGGCTGCCTCTGCACCAATGAAAGAAAAGAGGCATCCTGGAGATCAGGTCAGTGTAAAGTGGTCTGTACCCCATTTCAAGTATAGGCTCTGCCCCCCAACTAGCTGGTGAATCTTATGCCACTAGCACCTAATTTTCATTTCCTTGTTTATTTCTGTTCAAAAGTGTCTGAAGGTTTGTCACAGCCAGTTGCAGCACCTTGCCCTAGCATATAACAGAACCTAACGTGTTGTGACAATAATGTCTGAGGTCTACCCAGGGTAAAGACAGCTGAAGACATGGCCATGGTGTGATTGTCCCATCTCTGTGACCACATGTGACCATGGGCCTGAGTTGCACCTCACTCTCACTGAGAACCATCCACATAAATCTACCCTTATGTTTGCTAGACAATTTAGGCTTCTTTTTGTTCAAAAGCTCACCGATTTCTCATTTTATTCCATAGTTACAGTTTGTTTGCAAAGAGCTGAGAGCTGGCGGGTTTGCAAGCAGCAGAGACTTTTCTGGTTAGAACAACAGACATGTAGTAGGACCTGCCACATCTGCATCAAAAAGAACATTTATGACAGCAGGTAATATCAACATCTGCCTCTCTTTTTCCTTAACTTTTAAAATCTTTCTAGAAAAGGTTTGCCTACACCCCAATTTGTGCAAGACTTGATCCCCAGGAAAAAAACAACCAAAAAGTAACTTAATAATTTAAAAGTAAAATATTTCGCACTCTTCATTTATAAAAAACACAATCTTATGGAAACAATGACACTAAACCCAAGCAGAGTCAGAGTGTCACATTCATAAGGACTATTACAAATCTGCTGAGAGATAGTCCCACTTGACTAAGTACAAGACATGTATGCTTATTTACTGATAAAATGAAAATACAAGAACTCTTTTATACCCTAATGCAAAAAGGGAAGATTTTCAACATGGATCTGTTCAAAAGCTTATTTTCCCCAAAACTTCCCAGCAAAGGTCTGGAGTATATGTGAAGCAAGAGTCAGAGGAGAAAGACTTAAAAAAAACCATATAAAACAGAAAGAATTGCTGGTATTTTGGCTAATTTCTGAATATATATTAACTTATAGGTTAATGCCCACTTCTGAGATTTTGCTGGTCAGATACAAGAGTAAGGAAATATATTGCTTCTTCCTTTGATTCCTAACTGTCTTCTGAATTATTACTTATCACCTTAAATGTTATTATTTATACTGGATAAACCATGTCTTTATTACTTTTAAGCTGAGATAGATGCTAAACTTCAAAACCTTATTTTCACCAGATGGATGGAACATTGAGGGATAGAATAAATATTTTAATTAAAAATTAGTCATATCTGCCATTGCTGTAACATCAATGCACCTTAGCATTTATTACCAGCTTAAGCTCCGCTGAATTTCAGAGTTCAGTTCAGAAATTCTATAGTAACTTATGGATCTAATTTGTCGATCTCTCACATTTTATACCAGAACTGTTGCTGTCAGTCGTCTTGAGAGAAGTCTTCAAGTTAATTATATACTACTATATTTTCAGTCTGCACCATACAGAACTCATGCAACAAGTTTGCAAACAAATCCTTATGAGATAGAATATGTTTCTGATGCATTTACTGGATTATAAATATCCAACAGGAATTATACTATACTGTGGACAAACTATGTCAACCTTTTAATTAAATATATTTTAGCATTAATCATACAAAGCACTTGAAGTGACAAAACCGTCCTTCTGCTTTACTTCCCTGAAGTAGCCCATTTACAAATGGGTAAAACAAATCGGGTTAATAAGTATATCTTGGGATGAATGTAAGCATCGAAAGACTACAAAAACAGAAGTTAAGGCAGTACTGTAATCATAGCCGTCTTTTAATTATAAGCACTGGAAGTAGCTCAAAAAAGCACCATGACTTAGGCTGTGGTTTCACAAGTCTTTGGCTGCAGTACCAGACAGACACATAACAGTTTGTACAGCTGCTCTGTGAAGCAGATCAGGGAAAGGATCCAACTTAAATATAATACAGAAGGAAAAATTATCCAGCACTAGTTTTCTAACATAGTTCATAAAGAAGCCACAAAAGTGGTTAGGCAACTACAAAGAGCAGAGGACACAGCATACACGGCCAAAAAGTTAAGAGTATGAAGCAAGGAAGGAATGGGAATACCTTAAAGTGCATATCTATGCTAAAAAATAAAGAAAGAGAAAATTAAAGAGAGTTTTAGGAATAACCACAACCAAAACAGGTACTTAACTGGGAAATTCCCAAACAAAGCTATCTCATCCTGTTTGAACAGAATTCTATTCCTCAGCATAAATGGTTCTGATACAAATCAATGAAAATAAAATGGATTAAGTCAAACGAGACAAAACTAGCTACACTTCTTAAAGACATCTCCAATACTCACTTGGCTCACAAGCCTTGAAGTGCATTTTATCCTTCCAGTACCACAGATACTTAAAAGGTAAGGAGGACTGGAAGCATGGAAGCTGAAAATAAAAGCCACCCTTGCAAAGGGGTGAAACTCATACCAACTTTAATTTAGGAACCTATGTCGAATAAGAAAGTCAGGATTATAGGGAATCCCACAAATCCAACAGAGAGAATCAGATTCTTAACTCAATCAGCTGAACATCTATTTGCACAAGGAGGCAGAACACAGATGTTAGCAACCAAAATAGTTAAAAAAAACGAATAACCTTTGATACCCAAATTCACAGTGGCAACACAATTCCTACTGAAATTGATGTGATTTGATACCTCAGTTGACACTGTCTAACTTCAGGTAGCAATTGAGGCATGGAGGTAGGAGATAAAGAAGTAGGCTAATTTTCCTCTGCAAGCTGACTACAAAGGAGCCCAGAAAAGCTAGGCTCCTAATTTAGGAATCCAAGTTAAGTGGAAGGCAGCTGGATTTCGATAGCTTTGTGGATTTTGTTCAGCTGCTCAAATGCACTCCACTTCAGTACAGATAACAAGGGCTTGTGGCTCTGGGCTCTTTCTCTTGTTAATGGAGAAAGGTATCTCCAGGAATCATGACTGTTGAATTGCATTATCCTTTCTCTCCACAGCCTACACTAGAAGGTGAAATGCCTAATTTATAATAGAATTACTGTCAGCAAATTTTCTAAAATT